GATGTTTCAGAGCAGCTCAATATATACATTGACAACCCATTGTTCTGCAAATACAGAACACACAGATTAGTCTCCTTGGTTGAATAAGTGATCAATTCTACTTCTAAGAGTGGCATTAGATTCTTAAAGGGGATGACAGTACAAATCTTAACATAGGCCATTATAAAATAATACTTAGAAGGAATGCTTCCTTTTCAGCCCATTTAAAGTCAGACTGGAGGACAGCTCATATAGTTCAAAGATTTTCCAGTCAGCTTTCTGCCCCATGGCAGGATGAATTACCTCTCTGCTATTCCCAATAGACATTTGTCTAAATTGTTGTTAAAAGCTCCATTGATGAGGATTCCACAACTTCCTCAACCTACTTCAGTTTTTCATTTACTGTTACAAGGTTTTTCCTAACACCTTACCCAAATCTCCCGTACTGTAACTTAAATTTCATATCTTAATCACCCCAGACACAGAGAGCCCTCTCTTTTTCCTGCACATTTTTAGATATCTGAAAATTTTAGCTTATTGCCCACCATGTAGGTGACAGGATTGTGGTTCTTTCAAACCTTTCTTCTTTATTCAAGCCCCTGAAAACACAGAAGATAAGGTATAGAGCTAATACAGATTTCCAAATCCATTATTTACTAAGGAACATGTCCTACCATTTGACATTTTCAGCAGAGGCCAAGGACCCAGTGGAGGAAAGGGAGCAGAGTTAGACTCTGGGAAGTGGTCCCAAGGGCAGGGAGAGCCTGCAGAGATGCACACATCATCCCCGGCTCTGTTCTGCCTAGCGGGTAGAGTTGGAGGTTCAGCTCCATGGCTGTCAAAGGGGGTACAGCTCATTTGCATTGGGGAAAAAAAAAAAAGGAGCAAAGAAGATAAGAATTGTCTTGATTGTAATCTGCAGCAGAGTATCTGTAGTATCAAACATCCTTTACTACAATGTTTTGCCACTTCCTGTCTCAAAGCAGGAGTGCTTAGCCTACACCTAAGGTAGGACGTGACCAGACAAGAGCAAGGCTTTGGGAATATGACAGGCTGCCACAAAGAAAACCTTCCCGTGAGAGCTTACCTTACAAGATACAATATGTTTGCAGACTTCTAAATTTTACTTATAAATATTAAAGATTAAATCCTGATTTCACGGGTCTCTGTGAGATTTTTACCGATGACTTAATAACAGTTGTATTTCATCCTGCAGGGATACGAATTACAGATATCACACTGTTCTTCGTACACAGTCCTGATAGGTTATGTGAGAACACCGTCCACAATGGTTTAAAATCAACAGTTTTCAACATCTGAATATTATTTTTAGTGAAAGTAATGGGTCTGTCTTATAACAGCACACTCTAACAACACTCAGATGATTCAAGGAAAAGCCAAATCCTCCATCTTAACAGTCTGGCGTGAAATTGGTTCAAGATTTAGCAACTCCTATACCCAAGTCTTTTGCTTTGTTATTAGTTTTCCAATATTTTTTTCCTCATCTAGATTACCCTCTATTATTTAGTTATAACTTCCTCCATAATTGCAATCAATGAATAGTAATCACTTAATAAACATATCCTGACAGGTCTATTTTTGCACTGGGAAAAAATTCATTTTCTTTATCATCACTCCAGTAAGCAAATTTTCTTCTTGCCTGAAGTAGCAAAGCGAAACGCAGTGCCTGGTGCAGAGTTCTGCTCTGCTACGTACAGCATTTGAGCAAGACCAGACACCGCTCCTTTCATTTATACGTTATTTATCAAAAACGGTGTAACTTGGAATTTGCACTCACTGATTTTTATACCTAATTCCATTGCTGCAGATAGGTAAAAGCTGCTTTGCACAAACAGCTTCTTAACACTGAGCTAATAATAGTGGTGTTCCGAGAGACTTTTCAGAGTGTTTTCTTAAAATGCAGGTAATGCAGAGAGAAACTGCATTTTTGTTCAATTTTTTGAGCTTAGATTCTCAACATCAAAAGGCCAAAGAGTGTGCATTCTGTCGACTGTCTATAAAGGCCTGATTTGTTATTAAATAGAATAAAATATGAACTTGTATACCTGCAGGTTATCATGATTTCTTTCCCACTGCCACGTGAATATAGCACATGAAACAGGTAAAGAAACACAAACATAAGCAAATGTGTTTTGCTTTGTGTACAGAAACCTGGACTTTTTCCTCACAAATCAGATCAATTTGTTCTAAGTGGGCTTGGCCTAAAGTGTCTGGAATCAAAGCAAGTTTTTGTTCAAGAGACTTCAAGCTAGGTGTAGCAGTAAATGGAAAAGCATAGTAAATAATCTCTCCTATGGGATTCACATTTTTCTGCTTGAAGTCCATACGGAGAAATTCTCCGACATCTCATGAGGTAAGCCTGGCCGTTCCTTGATCCTGAAGACCTAATATGGATATTCAAAAAATTCAAACTATGTACAGGGAAGGGAGAGATTCAACCTCTGCTCGTGTGCTGTTTTACTCTGGTCTGGCCTGGCCTGGCTTTAGCCTTGGGACAAACAGACTGTGCAGTTTGCCAGATACCTTCCAAACAGGACTCAAACAATGGCTTTGATTTAAAAAAAAAAAAAAAAAAAAAAAAATAAAAAAAAAA